TTTGGGTTTCAATAAAATATCATAAAAAAATGGCTTAGAAGTAACAGATATTATTTCTTGGAACTTTTGAGGCCTGATGGCTTAGAAGTAACAGATATTATTTCTCGGAACTTTTGAGGCTAGAAGTCCAAGGTCAAAATGCCAGCAGATTTACTCACTTTCTGATTCATAAATGGCTGTCCTTTCACTTTAACATCACATGGCAGAAGGGGCAGGGGGTCTCACTCAGCTATAAGCACTAATCCTGCTCATGAGGCTCATAACCTAATCACCCTCCAAAGCTCCTGCATCCTAAAGACTATCACTTTGGGGGTTAGGATTTTGTTTTTATAATTTGCCAGTTGGTGTGTGCTCTCACTGGAGAGAGACAAAGAAAGAGAGAGAGGGAGAGAAAGAAATGAGAAAGCATTCCCCCAGGAGATGGTCATGCCACAATCCCTTCTCCTCCATTTCTCCCTCCTTATGAGATTTTGGGCATATATGCATGCATGCTCTGGAATTAAAAACACAAAATTGGCTATGCAGGATCCAGTTGACTTAACCACTATGCCACTTCTGGTCCAGGACTTTAACATATGAATTTGGGGTAGATATAAACAGTGAGACCATAGGAGAGGAACTCCAGAAAGACTCAGGAGGGGGAATAAATAAGACTTGGTGATTTCTGTGAGAGAAATCCTGCAACCTGCATCTCTAATTCAGATTATGTATCAATACTGCATTCTTGGCATTTGAATAGATACACAAAATTGAAAGTCTAGAAATTAGCCCTCAAATTTATAATCAATTCCCTTTTTTTTTTTTGACAGGGGCACCAAAGCAATTCAAAAGAGGATAGAATTTTCAACAAATGATGCTGAGACAACTGGATATCCACATATGTAAGAATTAATGTTGGCTTCTACTTCACACAAAGAACAAAAAATTTAAAGTAGATCATAGGCCTAAATGTAAGACCTTCAAACCATAAAACACTTAGAAGAAAACATATATGTAAATATTCCTGACCTTGGATTAGGCAAGAGTTTTAGCACATATAACACAAGCGACAGCAACAACAAAATCAAAAGATTTTGTACTTCAAAGGCTACTATTGAGAAAGTGAAAGACAACTCACATAATGGCAAAAAAAAATTGTAAAGTATGTATTAGACAAGGAACTCATATTTAGAATTTATTTTTAAAAATTTTATAATTCAGCAATAAAAAAATCCAATTTAAAAATAAGTACAGAATTTCAAAAGACATTCTTCCATTCTTCTTTTTTTTTGGAGAGGTTTTTGCTATAGGGCGCATGATCAGCCATGTGGGTATTCAGAGCCTTAACCACCATGCCACCTGCTGGCCACTAACATTCCCCTTTTAACCACTGTCTCCCAACTGAATCTTTATTTACTTATTTTAAATTAGAGGTTTTTGCCTGAGGGTGCGTGTGCTCTCACAGGAGAGAGACAGACAGTGAGAGGGAAAATGAGAAATCATCTCCTGGGGGGATGGCCATACTGCAATCCCTTCTCCTCTGTTCTCCTCCTGGGATCTTGGGCACACACACACAGACACATGTCCAGCATGATTTTCAAGTCACTGGGTCTGGGACTTGCACTGCACTCGACCATGTGGGAGTCCAGCGATGTAAAGGCTATGCCATCTGCTGGCTCCCACCCAACTGAATCTTCACATACAGGCCTTTAGTTAGAAAGTAATAAAATTTTAAGACCAGGTTATGATGTGACTCCACTCAGCTGTTTTCCTTGGGAGAAGGCTCCTGGCTAATAACACTATTTCTGTACTCAGGAGCCCACAAGGCAAGGCTTCCCAGTCACCAAGCTCTACCACCAGCTGCAGCAGCATTGCCAGCACTTTATGCAAGAGTCATTAACATGAGTAATGTTGCTTAGAAAATTGCTTTTTCAGGTCCGGCCATGATAGTGTGCACTGGTTGGCACTGCTACCCAGCGGGCTGAAGCTACATAGGAGGCAGGTCTTATTCCTGGCCCACCACACTGGAGGTTGAGGCAGAAAGATTGCAACATAGTGAGACTTTGTAGCAAAAGAAAGGAAGGAAGGTAGAAAGAAGAAAACTGTAAAGGAGAGGTGCAGGTCCTATGTAGTCCCACATAGCAGGAGAGTCCTAGTGAAGCATGAATCACATGTTTGTGATAGCTGAACTAAATGGAAAATTTAAGAAAGCCACCATTGTGTAGAACTTTGAAATTTGCCTCCCTCTCCATTTTATTAAATACAGTCATCATTCAGGATGGGTCATAAACACCTACTTCAGAAGAGAGAAGAGGAATGAGCAGGCACTGATGGAAAGGCAGGTGGGCCAACCCAAATCTTCCATCTTTGCAGTGACCAAATGTGTGCAAAAATATCAAGAAAACTGGACATTGGGAACCAGCAGTTAGCATAATGGCTATGTCGCTGGACTCCCATGTAGTCGACCACGTTTCACGTCCTGGACCCGGTGGCTTAAAACTCACTCTGGGCGCGTGTGCGTGCGTGCCCAAGATCCCGAGAGGAGAAGGGATTGCGGCATGACCATCCCCTCTGGGGGGTGATTTCTCACTTTCTATCTCTCTGTCTCTCTCTGTCTGGCGAGCGCATGTGCCCTATAGCAAAAAAAAACTCTCAAAAAAAAGAAAAAAGAAAACTGGACATGGTGAAACTGCCAAAAATAGAGACAGAAGCAAAATCTGGTGAAAGCCATCCCAAAGTTTTGCAGAAGAAAAAGGAAAAAGGTGAATTAGTGGAAATGGAGTTACAAGTAATAAAGTGGTCTCTAATTAACTGGAGACTCACTAAGGTTAAGAAAAAGCTGCATTGGGGATCTATGTACTGATACACATTTATATGGTTTGTGGTTATTTTCGTGATCATTGTTGCTGGCTGTCCCACAGCAGAAACAACTTGTAGGAATAGCACTACCGACCACCCATCCAGTGATGTGGCATGAAGTTGCGAGCCAGAGATCACGTAATATGAATGTACCCAAGCATGCTGCCCTTGAGGAATCTGGGTAGTTCTAGAAGAAACAGGGCTTGACTTGCACAAGTGAGAAGTTAGTCTATGGTATCATGCATACCTGTCAATCAACTAATGTGAATGTTATTTTTCTGGAGTTTGAGCTGTTTGTGGTATTTGTCAGCTTTCTAAATTGGTAATTTGTAATTGTTTCTTTTTCAGTGTAAATAAACATGCACTTTCATGCCTAATTTTATATTCACAATTGTGTACGGTTTGTTTGAAGAGGGCATCCAACATGAATAGCCCTACAAAACTGAACCAATGCCTAAATAAATTTATCAGAGGATATTCATTTTCATCCCTGTCAACTTCATCCCCTCCCCATACTTAGCCATTTCCATTAGTTTGTGGTTTCTTCTTCCTGTGATTCTTTTTGCAAAGTCAAGCAAATATGAATATACACATAAATGTATTTTTACTTAACCTTTTGTTTTACATCAAAAGTTGCATACTTTTATAGATTATTACTATGGACACACACACAAAAAAAGCAATTGAATTGATCTTTTTTCTCATTTGATTTCTTCTGGATTTTGAGTAATAGTCATCTGAAACTTTTCCATTTCCAGGTTATAATGGAATTATCTCATGTTTTCTTCTAGTATTTTTACTTTTTACTTTTTACTCTGATAAACACTGTGAAGTATATATCCAATTTTATCTATTTCCAAATGTCTATCCAATTGTGACATCATTTATCAAAACGTCTTAACTCCACCTCTCTGTACCCTGAGATGCAATTTTAAATATAGAGTAATGTTTAAATGCATCTGGTTCAGGCTAGCTGGTGGCACAGTGGTTAAGCACTAGATCTTACATGGCTGACTGTGAGATCATGGCAGTTACGGTCCTGGACCTGGTAGCTTAAAAAAACAAACTGGGTGGGTGTGAGTGCATACCCAAAATCCTGAAAGAGGAAATGGAGGACAAGGGATTAAGTAAAGAATGATCATCCCACATGGGAAAATGCAGTCTCATTTTCCTTCCCTCCTTTTCTCTCTTGTGAGTACATATGCCCTCTAGCAAATTTAAAAAAAAAGTATTTGGTTCTATTTCTAAACTTGTCCTGAACTTGCTATGTTGCTCCATTTCTATTTATGAATCAATATCATATTTTTTCACATCTGGGAGGGATTCTCCTCCCCCATTGTCCTATTCTTGTTATTTTATCATAAAAACTTTAGATTCAACCAAGCTAGCCTCAAAAAATAAGTTGAGTTTTAAAATTAAGATTGTGTTAAGTTTTACAAACTAGTGTGGAATTGACATCTCTATTGAGTCATCCTAAGCAAAAATAAAGAATACTTATGTATTTGTTCAAGTTTTTGTTTGTTTGTTTGTTTTTGCATCTTCAGACAGGTCTTATAACTTTCCTCACACAAGTTTGTGCAGTTCTTATTTTTAAAATAATTATTTATTTAATTTTATTATTTTTATTTTTTCATAGGGATCATGCACTCACCAGAAAGATAAAAAGTGACAGAAAGAAAGCAACCAGGTCCAGAGCTTAAACTGCAGTTGGCCATGTGAGAGTCCAGTGCCTTAATCACTATACCACCTGCTGGCCCCTTGTGAAAGGCTTAAGTTTATTTCTATGTGTTTTTATTTTCTGTTATTATAATTGGGATCCATTACATATTCTAGTTTGTTATTACAAATACAGATGTAAGGTTTTTTGTATGTTAATTTTGTATCTTGTAGCTACACTGAATTATTATGTTGTTAGTATACATTTAAGAATTTATTACAGGTTTTTCAGGTATGCTATATCATTATCGTTTGCAAATAGAAATAATTTAGTTTTTCTTTTCCAAATATTATGGCTCTAGCTTTTCCTCCTGAGCCCTACTTATTTCCTCCAGAGACAAGAGGAAGGGAAAAATGGGAGGTCTCTGGGGGCAATGAGAGGGACCGTGATCTGGAGCACGGCAAGAAAGAGTAAGCTAAGACTTTAACAGAAGTGAGAGGAGCACCTTTGCTGCAGAGAAGAGAGGGCAGTGGCTTTGGTTTATCAATCTCTAGAAAGTCATGTGGTGAAGCAGCAACTGGAGCTTGGCTGAGTCTTGCAAACCCCATCTCAGGGAGTAGCCAACTCTGGAGAGGAAGAAATGACAAAACGCCACCCATTCTCCTCCTGTGCAGGACAGAGAAGAAAGCATAGGGTCAAATTTACCCCAAACTAGTCCCAGTCCTGATTTCAGTGGTGAGACAAGAGAAAATTCATTTGTAAATACTTTGCTGCCAGGAAAAATAATAAAACAAATGCTTAGATAGGCCTGCAATTTGGTTGCAATGAGTTAGGGCAATCTTAAGGACTCTTACAAATTATTAAATGAGAGTTCTTTGCTCTCAAGGAATCAAGTGATTCACTTTCTAGCAACAGTATGCACATTAACATTACCTATGGGTGTGTAAGAATTGATGGGTTTCCCCAGCAGGCAGTGGCCCAGCTGAACCCACATAAGACACATTCTGAGTTCCAATACAAGGACCTCCCTGAGAATCGGCGGGGGTGGGAAAAAGGGGGGTTGTACCTGTGTTCCAGAACAGCGGAGACTGGGGATGGACCCAGACCAGGGGCCCTCGTGGGGGTGGCGTGCTCTCCCTTGCTCTCAGAAGAGATAAGTACACTTATTTTTTTCTTAAGTTATCAGTCTCGGGCCTGTCTCCAGGGATTTGTTTGGAGAAGGCTTTCCGGTGATTCCAATAGTAGCCAAGTTTGGGAACCCCGCCTAGACCCCACGCTTGTGTTGAACTCTATTATCCGTGTCCACTTCCTTGCCAGGACACTTCCTTCCACACCAGGGGGAAATACCGCTCTCTTAAACTCACAGTACTTCCTGGGCAGAAGTCCTGGAGCCCAGCCCCTGCCGCTGACAGGTAGACTGGATTTTACCCAATGCCACCTGTGTGCAGGCCACGTGGCTACAATCGTTTGCACCTATGGCGCTCCGGAGGCTCAATCAAGTGGAATGATTTTCATCTGTTTTTGTCTATTTTGATCACGGCCCAAAGAGCCCAGAATGATGTCCAGAACACAGCAGTCTATCAGTAACATGTCTTGTGAATGAAGTGCCTTATCCGATACTGAAACAGTAGAGGTGAATTTAAGGCGATCCCGCAGGTTCTTAATTGTAGTGTCAGATCTTGGAGATGCAGTTCTACTTTGGACTTCATAGTCGAGGAGAGCCGTGACCTCTTTATAGATTTGGGTCGGCTGGCCCAAGCGCCAATTCATTGGGCCCCGCCTGGCCCCAGCGCCTGCGCTCCTCGAGGAACACCTTGCCCTAATAAGGTAGCATCCAGGAACAGCCCTGGGTCGTCGCAGTTCCGCGCCGACAGGCGGTGGGCGTGTCCTGCCTCGCGCATGCGCACAGCTTCCTCGCTGGCTCCTGGGGCAGCGGGCGCAGACTCAGAGCCTTTGCTGCCGCCTCCAAGTGCGCTCCTAGGGGGCGGGGTGAGGTCAGGCTAAGACAAGGGGGCGGGGCTGCGGCTCCGCGCGTGCGCGGAACAGGGCTAGGGGGCGGGGGAACCTGCGGCGAGCTGGCCTGAGCGATTGGAGGCAAGATGCAGGTGGGCGAGGCGTGGAGCTCAGGCCCTGGGGGCTGCGGTCGCTCGCTGGTCCAATTGGGTCCGCGCGCCGAGGGGCGCCGGCCCTGCGGGGAGCGCCGAACGCGGCAGGCACGTGGGAGCCACGCGAGAAAAGGCCTTGCGCAGGCGCATTGCGGGAGGGCTGGGCGTGGTCCCGCTGGGACCCACAGCTGGGCGTCCCCGCCCCGGGTTCCGTGTGCCCTAATCTCTGTCCCTTAGGGATTCCTGTCCTTGAGGTCGGTCCCCGCTGGAGTCTGTGAAGGGCATGCCAGTCCCACCGGACAGAAGTTACACCCTATTAGTACCTTCCTTAATGAACACTTAACAGGTGTGTTAAGGACCCCACTGTGCAGTTAAGGAGCCTGAGGCTGGAGTAGTAGTGGTCCTGCCTGGAAGTTCCCACCGCGTAAAACCCGAAATCTGGCTCCAGTTAAGGCTGAGTGACAGTTTAGTTACCCCCCCCCCAACCCCCCCAGC